AATGTTTTATTATGTAAAGACGTTCACGAACTCGTGAAATACCTATAAAACCCCACAGAACAGACGGAATTTCCATACGTAGCAATACAAAGTTAACTGTATGACCCATAAACCTTTTTATTTTATTACTTGATGTCTTTTTTAAAGGCATTCTTACATCAACTGTACGTCTTAAGCCTTTCATTTACCGACTTCATATCTCACACTGGGGTCATTGATATTTTTTTTTGTTTACACGATAAGTCACTGGCCCTACGTTTCATATTTTAAAAGTTTGTCAGAACAAAAAAAAATACATGTATATCGGAAGTAAAATTATGATCTGAGTAAATGGTACCAAAAAATGTTCATCTTTAATTATTCATAGGAAGACAGTGCTTTGGGACTCAATTGAGAATTATATGTAGGTAAACTTGAGTTGGTTTCACGTCGGCAATGGTATCACTGTGCTTTAAGCTATCTGTCGTTCACTGTGTGTAATTTCCAAAATATTATATTGAGGTGGAAAATACAATAATTTTAAGAGATCGGAAGAACCAATGAGCACTTACATGTAGTTTAAAATACTGTTTTATAGCAATCTTCTTGGGCCTTTCCGGGAAGCTTGGAAAAAAACATGTCAGGTTGCCTTTGTGTCATATTGTTAATTTTGAATTTATAGGGTGGCAGTAAATACATAATTCACAGTTGTCATATTGTAAATTGTGTACTTACTGCCACCCGGTAAATTTCTAAATTTACAATATGATACTTAAACCAAACAAAGGAAAGTTTGAACAGACAAATCACAACATTGATTCGGGAAATGATTTAAGTACAAGCAAACCATTTTAAGCATTGGATTTATTCAAGCACATCATATAACTAATTATTTTTTATTATATCAATAAGAAACACTAATTCATTACGTATCCCTTAACTCATTCATCGAATAAACCGGATGGTTCCGCATTATGGACGACCGTGATACTTTTACATAAAAACAGGCGCTTATAGTGGTATCTTTTATCAATGATATCCCAATCTTTGTAAATAATATACAGTGATTAATGTAACAGGTGATTTATAAATCAATAAATATCAATTATACAATTCTATTTACAGAAGTTCCGAGGATATTGAAATATTATTTACTCATGAATTGGAAATAAAGCAAGCGTAATTTAAGGCAATGCTGCTCTAATGATTCCCCGTGTCATTGTACAATAGTAATGTATTTCATTATATTTCTTTGAAAATAATTGACTTGTTTGTCAAGAATGTCTGGGCTAAGATGTTTATTTCTGAGAAACCAATGTCTCAAAATTAAGTTACAGATACAAATCATTAGATACTTTTTCAAAGTATTCACATTGTAGCTCTTATTCTCAGATTCTGAGAATAATATCTGAAGAGGAAAACGAAGCCATCAGAGAACCACACACACCATCAGTTTCAGAAGTTATAAACTTAAGATTTGTTTGAAAATGTTACCGCGGATCATAGTAGCAAATAAATCTGACCAACAGGTCGTTGACAGAACATCTCTGTTCCCGTTCCTGGCACATTTGATCACTCGCCCAGTTAGACTTAAAGTTTGAATCAGTCCTAAATAGTTTGGGCTTTTGGAAAACACAATATATTTTCCCCGTTGTGGCTTTATAAGAGCTGTCAATCATAATATTAACTTTCTTTTGATAAATACAAAGGAATTCCTTGTGTGGTTGGTAGTTTGTACGATAACCAGTTCTGGGTTAATAGATAGTAAAGTAAAAAAAAGATGAATATATATCTGACAAATACATCATCTGGTGTGTAACAACTGATATGCAATTCAGAGTGAGCTATATTTTTTTAAGTATTGTCGTAACTCCAGCCAATTGTTTGCACTTTCCAATTCTAGAATAACAATGCCCTTGTGATCTCAGTTCAGTTCAGCAATCCTTTTCTTTCAGGTTCATTATAGCAATCTCCCTATACTGTTCAAGTTTAACACAACAACTTTATTTCAAGTTCAGAATTATATTTAAGGTTAATAACAATTTCTATGAGTTTCAGGTTAAATTTCACAATTTCTTTGTGAAACAATATGTTACAATGCAAAAGTATAAAATATAAATTTCAATGTATAGCAAACTGCGTGTGACCCAGAGACATTAAATCTGACTATGATAAGTGATCAAGCCATGCTCGTAGACTCTGCCTGTGGCTGCATTCAAGATTTAACTAACAAAATCTCATAAAACAATCAAAGACAGCTCCACCTGAAATTATGTAATATGAAGGCACTGGGGCGTTTTACTCTCAGAAATTTTTAAAACAGATTTTTATAATCTAAATCACCCAAAGTATTAAACATTTTGAATTACATAATATCTGAATAAATACATTAAAAGATATGAATGCTGATTTTTTAAAAAATAAAAAAGAATTTTGATAAATTTCACTCGATCTGTATTCTGTATTTAGTCAAATAACTTGTCACGCATCGCAAGAGGGTAGAGGCATCTGGTATGGACAGGACAAAATAAACCGTTGTTTTTTTAACTACATGTAAATATCTTTTTCTGAATTATTTTTTCGGTATCCGAAGGATGAACTGGCTTAGATAACAATGATCATGATAAGAAACAACTTAAAGGGGCATTGTGTAATTTATGGACTGGATACACGGAGTCAAGTGAAGTTGGATTGATTGATTGATTGTATATTGTTTTACGTCCCATTCGAGAATTTTTCACTCATATAGAGACGTCACCATATACCGGTGAAGGGCTTCAAATTTTGACCTTTACTCGGCACTCAGGGCCATTGAGCAGTGAGGGATCTTTATCGTGCCAACGCCTGCCGTGACACGGGGCCTCGTTTTTTAAGGTCTCATCCGAAAGACCCGCAACTTTCACTCCAAAGTGCCGAGCGCATGGCGAAGGAACAGTTGCTACCTATTTTTTATCGACTTAGGTCTGTCGCGGCCGAGATTCGAACTCACGACCTCCCGATCACGGAGCGAGCGCTCTACCGACTGAGCTACCGTGAACGGTCAAGTGAAGTTGGAAAGTTGGAAGAGGAATATATTTTCATTCGTTTTTTTCAAGATTACCCAAACATTTATGGATACTTATGTAGCAAGCAATGATCTCGAAAAAAGAAATAATTTTCTAAAGTTACTAAATTTGAAGATTTGTGTGAGTACAGAAATTACTTTTTAAAGTTGATAAAATGGAAGTTTAAACTTAAAATATGACCCCCATGGAAAAAATACATCAAGGTTTGAAGAGTCAAAATATTCATAATGTAACATGTCTTTACTTATATTCTATCTTAAAATTCCATATCTGTAATACTTGATTCAGGAGGATTTCTGGATCTTAGGACAAGAAGACTTCTACGTTTGACACCCCTGTTCAAGAGTATTAGGTTCTTTTTGCCCCGTTATTTTTGTCCAATTACACTTTAAAATGATTACGCTGTTTAAAATTCGTCCAGATAAATTGTTTTACAAGAGTTGCTGCAATGCTTCTGTTGACCTAGTCCCGTTTGAGTTCGCCCACCCACTACGAGGACTAATACCAATATAAAAAATTCTCCGAATACAATACTTGTATTAAAAAGACACTCCACCCCCAATTAAATTTTCACACGGAAACCTAGACGAGCAAGTTGGGCTGAATTAGACTTGGTCATAGATATGTTGGGTCTCTGGTTAACCTCTGTTAAATTATCTCTTCATTGTTTTTATGTATGATGAACCAAATTATATCTTACACACAGCCAATGTTAGAAATTCGTGTAAGGAAAACAGCATATTAGTTTCATTGTCTTATGCGATTAATTAGTGTTTTTTATTTTGCTTGTGAATTGTTTTCAACACAGAGATTATGTGATGCAATAAATGCGTTTTAATGAGTTCCCCTTAGAGTTGCTTTACATATCAAAATAAAATTATTGGCACCTAAACAGTTACAGACTTTATCATAAGCAAACCCTAACGCAAATTTTCAAATATTTATCAGTTTAATCAGTTTATTGATCTCGTCATATTCGGCTGATAATTATTCATTCAAAATCGAAAAAATAGTTCCATTCTGAGTTCTATATTGCTGTCATATTTTCTCGTAAAACTATCTCTTTATAACAAAATAATTGTCTCTTTATAGCGAAATAATTATCTCTTAACTCATTAAAACGAGTTCATAGTTAATTCTTTATAACGAATCAAATGTTGTAATTTTTACCTTTATCAGAGGTATATATACGGAAACGGATATAAGGAATAACTGTCAGATATTTTTTTACATGATGATGATCAAACAAAGTCCAGTCTCACACCACACTCCTCTAAAACACATCCCATGCTCAGTCCATCGATTACACGATGCCACATGTCACGGTGTAAGGAAAAATGTAGGTAATTCCCGCACCTTGAAATACACATTTGTTTATCTAATAGAAGTTTATTATCTAGTATATTTATTGCAAACGCACCTTAAAACATAAAGCGAATTTTACAGTGCGTTACTAATATAAGCGCTTTCTTGTTTTTTTTTTATGTACAATATGATTTAAATTTAAAAAAAATGCATAAAAGTAGATCTATTCTCTTACTATAGTTCAAATATCTCTTTTTCTGTTTTCATGCTTTAATTTGTAAGAATGAAAAACAAAAACAAAAAAAAAGTTGGGTCCTTCATCGATAATTATCGAACTTGATTTATTTTCATAGTAAGCGTCACTGACGAATCAGAAACTCAGGATTATAAGAATAATTTTTTTTTGGTCTTATTTAATTAAAAGAATTCAGATAAATTATATTTTACGCTGGCATGACAGTTACATTTTTACGAATAGCATTTATGTAAAAAATATATAAATATATTTATGTATAAATAAATATATATTTGGCATTTTATAGGTATAGCAAAAAAAAAAAAATCATAAATCATTAAGAGATGCATGCCTAAATTGAAAATTGATCCAATTCACATTCGACCAACACAGAAAAAAGCAAATATCACTACCCAAACATTACTACACTTTATTTGCTGCTGAAACCAAAATGAAACATGCGACTGTCAAGCTTGATTTATATGGAAACTGTCAGATTTATAACTAATGCACAACGTTATGCTACAAGTTTTCCGTCGTAGTTTTCATAGAACCTTGGCTTATCAAATGTACCTTTTGATATTTCACATTCCATCGACAGAAAAATCCTCTCAAAATCCTCCTGAACTCCTGGCTAAGACAAACGTAAATCCAAAAATTAATATGAAAGTTAAGAAGAGTACAAACATTAAGAACGGCTATTAAGAAAAGGTCCGTTTCCGGATCAATAGCTTCAGCATTTATAGTTTTAATAAGAAGTCGTAATCCATTTGGAACTTCCACCGCCAAACAACATATAACTATGACGACAATCATAAGCGAGGTTCTCCGAATAAGCCGCGTTTCTCGGGATTCACCTTCTTGCCTCTGGTGGTCTGCATGCAGGCTTCCAGATTTTCTTACTTCCGTGTCGAGTCTTTTAACAAGTAGAATGGTCGTGATAGTCAGAATAATGCAAGGAATCAACTTGGCGAGGGATAATTTCAGAATTTTTAATTTATTTTCGTATTGGGCGGGTACTTCCGTTTGCCAACATTCACACACGTAAACCATATACCCGTACCCGTTATCAACGTGTGTCTCCTTATACTGAAGATAAAAGAATTGTGGAAAGTACATAACAGTGGCCAGAATGTAAACACATATAAGAACAATCACAGACACTTTTATCGTACAGTATTTTGGCCCTAGGAAAGGATGAGATATGACCAAATACCTCTGGACACCTAGAACGGTTGTGACCCATACAGACACTGTGTGGAGGATGGTAGACACCACCGGCGCCGCGTGATAGTAAATGCATCCAGGGTATTCCATCGTAAACATGTAGTTCTGAAGGCTATGATAGTAAATATGTAGGGGGACAGTCACCGCCCCGACCCCTGCATCGGCAATGGCCAAACCAATGAGTAACGTGGTGGTGGGGGACTTTTTCTTCTGTCTCAGGAAGACTCCCACTACGATCACGTTTGTGATGACCATTAGGATGGCTATGGCGGGGTACAGAATTCCATAGAATATGAAAGCTTCCTTGTAGGGGTAGGGATCACAAAAGTAAAACGTGGTATAGTTCTGGTCTTCATCAGAGCTCTGATTTATCATGACTCTAGGTCTGAAAATAACAGAAAGACAACTGGAATATCTCTACTAACCCTTGTATCCTTTGAACATCAGTAGGCTCTAGCCTTTTACTTTCAAACAAATCTACTAATTAACTCCTGTGCGCTATGAGTTATTTTGCAAGCTGTGTGCTCTCACTTCCTTAATTATGCGCATTTAGAAGCTAGTTTGAGTTGGTGATTAATATCTTAACACTGTGATCCAACCAACACAATTATTCAATTAAATCAACACGTAGTATTAGGTGTTATATTGATGCTGTCAATAAATTGGGATCCAATCAAGATTTACTTAGTAAACACGTCACAGAAAATTAAGACTGTGTTTGTAAAATAGCAAAGTTGATCGCAATTACTGGATAATTCCGAACATCAAAGAATAGAAGCTTTCATCCATATACCTTAACATGCACATCTTCAATACAAAATGTAACGATATTAACACATGAAGCTTGTTCATGCCTTATCACAACCTCCTGAGTCTAGCTTGACGCCTCTTTTCTAGACGTACGGGGTATAAATATGACGCCTGGTCATTGCGTTTATTCACCATTTCTATATTTTGATTTTTAATTGTGATACTAGAATTATTTTCCGCATGTACAACTTATCTTTCAGCAGGTCAACTCTGATAATTGTGAATAGCTTTACTGACTTATTCCCAAAATTAATATATCCTATGTCTAGATTTTAAACAGACAATTCGGTATTGTATGATAATGCTGTTTTATCCCTGCGTGTAATCTGCACGCAGAAAAATATTTTCCGTTATTTTGAGTTAGAAATCTATCTTTACTTTTAAAAAATCTTAGAAATGCGAGTAGTTTTAACCACAGAAACAACATCAATGGCCTTTTCTGTGATTGATTAAAATTTGCCATGCAATATGAGTAAGAAACCCATTCGCAACATGTTGAAATTGGCTCCATTACCGATTCACTGAAATAATGACAGCCTGGCGGAGGTGTGTTAATTTAACAGCAAGACTAAACCTAACAAAAATCCATAACTAAATCCCTTTTTTCCTCATTACAGACTGAGAAATCAAAAATGAATTTAATATAACCGATTTATTCGGTATCTTTGCACTTTGCGCTCTCCATAGAAAGAACGGCGGGAGTAGATGGAGGTGCAAATCTCAGTATCAAGTTCGAAACGCCTAGAGATTTGTATGATAAATGCTTAGAGGGTAACAAGCTTATGCCCGTTAGGTCCAAATAAGATGCCACTTGCATAGTATGAAAGGTTACATATCAATGCATCATATAAAAGTGCATGTTATAAGCATATGATGACTTTTATCAAGTTGTTAATTTGAAATAAAATCTATATTCTTACATGCACTGTATATTTTGGGTGAATTAATGATTATTGTACAAAATCCTCTTAGATGTGACATATCAATATTGATAAGAAAGCAAAATGCCAACACACAAAATCGGTATACTGTATATAAATTAAATCAATTGGGATGTACTAAAGCTTCAATACAAAAAAATACACAGTTTGATTTTATTTATGTTACCTCGCAATAAAATTTAATGACAGTGCGTACTTTAAGAGTTCATTAAGAATAAAATTTTCAATGAATGTAAATTGAAGAACTCTGGAAGAATTTTGCATTCTCTTCGGAATTTTTTTGAAGCATGTTGCATAGTTTTTGAGCCATTATTTGGCTAACGATGTGGGACAGTTTACGTATCGCGTGTCAAAAAGCAGTAGCTCCTCTATAAGACGTATTATCTAGGCCCCAGGAAGTGTCAAATTCTCTAAACATCAGGCTTCCTCTGGACGATTATTGAATCAACTCAGTGGCAAAACTTCCAGAATAGGCGAAACAGTAAGGCTAACGATTATACGCATATAGTGTTGTCATTAAAGAAGTTTTAATAAATCAGAGTCAGTTGAGATTAATATACGCAGAAATTATTCTATGTGTAACTGTTCCGATCCTGTGTAGGATTTGCTGTTATAAAAATTCTAGCTACATATATGTTTCAATTCGTCCCCAATAATGTTGATCTTAGAAGTAAACAATTTTTATCCAAAAAATTTTCCGCGACTGTGTTCGTGCAACCCAGACCTACAGAGTCGGTGGTGAGTAGCATTGATGGATATCTATCGTGTTTTCGTTAGAAAATCTGCGCACAGCCAACAATACCTTTCATGTTAGTTTCGCCCAAAGCGCTGCCATGCAGACAGTCGCATGATGCACGCGACATAAAAATACATTATGATTTAAAATTATATAAAATATCACATCATCACCGGATATTTTATACCATTCGAGATCATTGTCTTAGTAACTTTTGCAGAACCTTTTTATGATGTTAATCAGAATGCAATTCGATTATTAATTCATGAGGATTTTTTTCCTTGAAAACAAAATTACTTTCCCTGTTCAATAAATGAATACACCCTCAACCGATTAATTTTTATGAATTTAAATTAAATTTTTGACTTATTTCGAATATAAAAAAAAACATTTTTTTAAAATCCCCTAATGCTTAACACCCTTAATTCAAAATACCTGTTGCCTTAATTGATACTGCATATCAATGTAAAACAATTTTAGGAAGTTAAAAAAATAACTGGATATTTGATATTCTTTACCTCAGAACCAGGACACCGTTAAGAAGGAAAAGATCACATAAGGAATTCCCACACACTATTTCATTAACTGTGTCTGCAAGACAAATGGCCCCTTTAGCTCAAAGTGCAGTCATGAAACCAATGCCTACCCGGTGCCGTCCGCCGTCACTTTGGTCATTTTGGTCAGTAAATGAGCCCCATCATGGGATTTCACAAGTATAATCATCAATACTATTAGTTAATTATAGCAGACTTCCCAGAAGTCGGTCCTTGGATCAGAGGAGATACGTGAAAGATAAGCTCTAGAGGCTTACCGAGAGCATCTAACGTCATACTGTCAGCGAATCGCTCCACGGATATACGCATATTATTGGATCTCAACATACAATGTGATGTACTAGAGTATTAATTGTACTAAATGATTTAGCTGTCTTTAAAACCTGTCCCGCTAATGCACAGCGAAAGATACCTGCCGGATATTTAGATTTATTTATTTGATCAAGGGGAAAATGAGGATCTAAAAGTCGACGTTTCTAATTGTCTCCCCTTGTCGATATTGTCAGTGACAATAATGAATTGTAAACGAGAACATTAACGGCTTATTTAATGACAATCAACATCAATTAAATAAAACTGCTTGATAAAAAAAACCCCGCTATTTATAGTATGAGATCTAGATAGATCATAGATTCTTTTGGCGAGATAACAAAGACATCAAAAATACGAAAGATAGCGTATTTTTATTCTGTGATAAAATGTACCAAGAGTTGAAAATTTTACTGACAACATCGAAAAAATCTCTAAATATACTGTGTTCATATGACATTACAATTAAATACCATATTTCATACGAGCATAGTGCAGTTGTCTTAAAAATTTCTTTTATTTGGCAAATCTATGTACTGATTATGTTTTAAGTTAGTTCAGATATTAAATTCTAGAGACATACATCTCATAGACAAAGATTAAGTATAACTTAAAGTATAAAACATAATTTCTTTCATTCTTGTAAGTGTGTAATACCCTTTAAATCTTTTTAATGAAATACAACTTGTCCAGGCTCATATGATTAAGTTTTACAAATTATACAATTTTTAATCCAAAAACTTTTGGAATATTAACATTATTAAATTTTTCATGATTGTAATAATAAATAAATAAATAATAATAATTAAAAAAGAAATACAGGGGTAAACAGTTTTGCGTATCATCACAATCTTTAAATATTGCTCTCAATAACAAAACAGATAAAACAAAAACAAAACAACATGAAACAAACAAAACACGACAAAACCAAAAACAAACCCCAACAAAAGTAGAATAAAAATTTGAGTGGTACTTACATAGCGGATCAGGAACCAGATGTGAAGTTTAATTCCACTTTGATGTACAATTTGGCAAGCCCTTACAGAGAGTTTACAAGAAGAGGTGTTTGTTGTTTTATATTTATAGGAGTTAAACAATTACTATAAAGTCATTCAAGGTTTAAAAAAAAAAGAAAAGAAAAAATAGAAACTATCTGTGATTAAAAAACTGATAAAAAGAAATCATTTTTCAATATCTTTCAGCAGGAATAATTTATATGTTAATTGTGATATTTCAGAATGGCGTTATCTTTGAGATATAGCTGCTCGCTGATAACCGTTTCTGACACTCAAGTCTAAGAAAACCAGCTAAAACTGAACCAAATTCCAGCAATTCATCATTTCCCATCAAATTAAAGACATAAGGTAATCTCGGTTTGCTTCTTTTATTCCTTTGTTGTGGTGTTTGTACTTTTTCTCGTTCCAATTTTGCTTCGGATAAATATTTTGAAAATAATTTTACAGATTCTATTTAGAGTACTGCTATAAAAGGAACGTTTTATATAAAATTTTATAAAACAATTCACCAAAACTCAAACAAATTCCTAAAAACAGAAATCAAAAATCGAATGATCGCAAGAATTATGTTTAGGACAATACAAATTAGTTTGAAAGTAGAGCGGTCCACCTGATGACTTTTATTTCCTGCATTCAATATATATATATATATATATATATATATATATATATATATATATATATATATATATATATATATATATATATATATATATATATATATATATATATATATATATAATGATTAATGTATAGAATGTAGGAATTTTTGTAGGAATTTTTTTGCTTTCTCCTTAGAATTTGGGCACAATCGTAATCTTTAGTATTTACAACTGTACATTGGGAAAAAAACTATTGTGATAATTTTCTAACAGCCATCTGCTTATTAGAACGTTACATGTCCACATTATGCGTCATCTGTTGTTGACAGTGCTATACCACAAGAGGACATCTGTTGGTCTATAGACCATCCTTGGACAGGACAGGGCTAATGGCTTGTGTTACAAGATATTCTACACTTAACAAGATTTTTATCGTATTATTCTCAATGTGAGTAGTACAAGTCTATCAGTGAGTTTTTGTATTGTCTATGAATGTGTTGAATACCAACAACGGGACACTACACAACAATCGACTAACAGATGAGTTTGACAAAATAATGTGTATTTGGTGTCTTAATGGCTTATAGAATACTATATAGATAAATACCTATTCAGAAATTGCCTTTATGCACTGAAATGTGCAAAAAAGGGGTAATTTTTATGCATGTCAAGTTTCAAATTATCTACATTCTAATCATTATCAGAGGAACATATTGTGCATATGCAAAACATAATATTATTATATAATTTACTAACTTTATACATTTAGGAAAATTAAACATGCACATTAGCAAAAAATACCATAAGAAAACTTTGTAATTTAAAATGAACTAAAACTGATGCGAAATTTCACTGTAGTAAGAAAATGAATCGTATGATTAAACTGGCAAGTGAGTTCGCAATTTATACCTTTCTGACAAAACAAGAAACGTTAGGAAGTAAGAAAAATCCATTTAATTATTAACTCTTTACGCCACACACAAGTTCTACGTTTATTTTCTTAGTTATGATAATGATTCAATATTCTAGGACAAATTTTATTTCTATAGTAACTATCTTGTGAACTCTCCTAGTATGAAATCTAGGACCCTTATTTGTAAATTTTATTTATTTCTCTGCCGACATGTTTTATTTCCCTATTGTCCTTTTCTTTGATTTTTAATGCTTGATATTTCTCTTGGTTCATGGAATGCAAATATATCAGTCATGAATGTAATGTCTGTCATATTTATATTTCTTTTGTTTAATATAAAATGAGATTTTGTTCTCTAAAGTGACTGATGTTGGCAGACCAAAGGAGTGTAAAGCTCTGTTTAATAAGCTGGAATTTTAGTGTCTGTTCAAGGAAACCATTACAAAAGATAAAACGTAACTCTATCCCGCTATGAACTTGTTTTGTTGTTCTCTTATCCCAAATTCTTCTCTATACTCATCTAAACCCAAATTCCGTACTGAACTACCATCGTAGACTTTACTTTAATTGACATTTTCTGACTCTCAGATTGGTAAAAGAAATAGGTTTTTGTGTTGTTATGTAAAGCTGCATTTTTATCTTCGATAAAAACTCCTTCCTATTTTAACCATGCATTATTGAGTGCTAGAGTGCTAATCTTGTCGAGGACACAGGTCTTGATTCTGCGAATACATGTTTAAGAAAACTACATGAAAGCACAGACATGTTTTACAACAAAAGTAGATATAAAATGATTACAGTTTACGATTCTATAATTTTTGGCAGACGATTCATCACTGATAATGTCAAAGAACAAGATAACTAATACATAACTGTCTTCAAATATCTGTCTTACGATTTCCACATGTAATATTAAAGAACATGCGGCGATAAATACGCACAAAACAAATTGAATTGGTGACATTTATATTCTAGAACGAATTGGAAATATTTTAAATAGAAAAAAAAATGGCTAGTACATTTACCAGATTTCATGAAGTAATTCTCTCAAAGCTAGCTCAAAGTGAGGTACCTAGTCATCAGAAATTAAAGATAACGAATCAATTTCAAAAATACTATAATGTTAATCGGGAACAGAGAAAACTCGGACCCCTGGAAACACCAGAGATAGGATCAGGTGTGTAAGAGTGTAAGCACCACCTGTCGACGGGTCACACATACCGCGTGTCCAATGTACTGATCAGATACACGGAGAAATCTGTAGTCAGAATTAGCATTAGGTAGATATGATATCATTTGCAGTAAGATGTGTTTGTAAATCACTGATGCTTATGTATAGCATGCAGCTCAAGGCCAAGGTTAAAACTTTTCAAATGTAGTGAAACCCCAAGGTCAAGTGTTCAAAAACGTTGGTACCCAAAAAGGTTTTGTCACAAGGAATACACATGTGAAATATGAAAGCTTTAGAACCAACATTCAGTAAGTATAGCCAATGTTAAAAGTTTTTTCAAAAGTAGGTTAAAGATCAAGGTTAAAAGCCAAAAATGTTGGTACCCAAAGAAAGGTCTAATCACAAGGAAAACACATGCGAAATATGAAAGCCAGCACCCACCAATCAAATTAAAGTATTTGCGGACAGACAAACAGACTGAGCAAAAACTATACTTCCCTGAATCTTCACTTACGGGGGCATAAAAGTACAGTTCATGTGAATAATAACGGGCGCAGGACATTTTAACAGATTTTCTACAGGTGTGAATGGACATTAGTGGACATTTTAGCATGAGAAAAATTGGTTACCTATAAAAATTCAAGGGCATGTTAAAAGAATTTTTTCAGAGATATTTTTTTTCTCCTTTTAAACAATCAAAGTCAGAAAAGATTGATCAAAGGTCAGCAGATGATTGACAACACGTTTGAATAAAACTCACAAACACATATATATTCATACAGATTGTAAGGCCATTATTTACACACTGAATTAACTAAGGATTTTTCCGTTTGTCATATCATGAAAAGGAGCACACGGCGGGTATGACCGGTCGGCAGGGGATGCTCACTCTTCCATGGCACCTGATCCCACCTCTGATGTCTTGGAGGTCCGTGTTTGCTCTGCTCCTATTTTGTGTTGTTTAATGGACTTTTGAGCTTGAATACTGTTCGTTATCTCCATATATTTCATTGCACATATTCATCTTTAATTAAAACTCAGTAAAAAAAGTGCTAAAGATACATCTAGAAACAGAAGAAAACAGTATCATTTGTGACTGGTTGTGGTACATAGATGATGGACTTTTTATATTCCGATGATGTTTGAGTGCAACACTCCAAAGATCATATCCGAAACAGATAGTTTTAGACATTGACTGTAGCAAAAATAAGTATATCCTTCTAAAAAATTTACTTTCACCTCCCCGTTGGTGAGAAGGTAAAAGACTAAGCCAAGCTAACGGAATAGTT